TTTCCTCTCTCTATATGCCTTTGTCTACTTTGATGTCAGTCTTTCCTATTCGCTTGCTCTTTGTTAATGACTGTGAAGTGTTGCAACTTGAACCGATGCAATTGTATGCTAGGTTCTACGTTGATTTTGTATGGGCCTTTCATGAACTAAGGAATAGCCCGTTGTACAATATAAAAGTTGTCTTATATAGGTATACTGTGGTACCCTGAATGTATCCTCACTAAAATACCTGCAAACTCTGAATTGACCGCTTTTGCCTGATATGCCTAAGCTGCAATTTAGTGCTGTCTCTAGTAACTCTTTGGTCCATTTCTTCTCTAACATAAGGGCATGTCAGTCTACCCACTGAGTGATGATAATGAAGCTGTTGGCTAATATGCATTACTGCACTTTTTCTGGAACTGGTGTTCAGACTTCCCTGTTTAGCCTGTTCGTTCAGCTCATCTCAACCATTCCGTAGCGCTAACTTATCTCCGGCACCAAGAATAACCCTCCAGATCTTCACGTCATCTGCAAATAGCATTCTTAATAGGCAGAAATAACAGGTTCTGGTATTCTACCTTGGAAAGTCCCACTAGTAACCGATTTATTTCCGGAGAGTACTCCGTTTACGAGCACTTCCTTCTATCATGCAGGTAGTCCTTGAACCATCTCTACACGCTGATACCTTCACCGAAACCAACAAGCTTCATCAGCAAACCAAAATGAGATACTTTGTCAAATGCCTTACTAAAATCAGGCAACACACCAACGGACCGTTTATTTCCTCTGGCTCACTGATTCTTTGGTTAAGAGAATATAAGCGTTCCGGACAGGAAGCATGTTGCTCATGCTCAGTAAGCTGGGTGTTTTCGTATGACTAATTTATTTCCCAACTGAAAACTGTTGCAGTAAGACTCGCAGGGCAACAGCAACTGGTTACCTGTTGTCATCCTTATCAAATCTCCGTTCCATAAGTAATCGGACCTGAAGTAAAGATATTAAATGTGTAGGCCGTCTGCGGATGGTGTCAGCAAAAGCTAGTAACATATTAGAATATAGTCTACTCGGACCAAGTGACTCACCGGGGATCAAGTTATCTAGCCACAGCACTCCCTACCCATAATAGGTACCGTTAGACATCATGGGTCATAATAGTACGTATAATCTAGTTGTTGCTGTTAGTCGAGAAAAATGTCGCTGAAGTAATTCTATAGGTTTCCAGTTTTATTTATGTCTGGTTCTGATAATAAACCTAAATTCCTACTAAAAGGTTAAGTGGGCATTCCATTGTACCTTCTGGTCCTGTTGATAACTGTAACTTTGACGTGGTGGCTGGACTTACATAGTGACCCAGGAAGATACGCTAACGGGGACGCTTGTGGTCTAAAGTCCTACCGTTACAGATAGGTCTGTTGGATAGAAAGCTCGACTCTATGGTAATGTGAATATCTAAGTTATGATAAGCGTCCGACGGCGGTCGTATTGTTTGGTTATTATTATCGTTATCATTGTTATTACTATTATTATTAAGTATTGTAAGGACCGTGGGCACCAAAAAACTGTACTGTACAAAACAGTGAAGCAACAGTTGTAAAGTTATGATAGACGGAACAGAAAAGAAAAGTTGGTTATTAAAGAAGCAGTCCCAAAAAGATATTCAAAGAGGCACTCTCTGCTTTTGTTTTACTTTTATGTGACTGAAAATGATTGTCTCTGGTTTCGATTCTGAGTCATGTTTTCTATCGTCTCAAGTCACAGATCGGCATGATTTTTCGGACTCCATCCAGGGAGTCGTTACGTCCCTACATATGCTAGCCTAAAGTAACTATCCTGCATCCCACACTCACATCATGCACTGACCGTTTCCTCCAAACAGTCGTAGGGCAAGTGAGTAGTGTAGAAATCACTGGGATGGCATGCGTAGCACACGTCTGAGCCACCGAAGCTGGTGTTTCAAGATGACCACACTCAATAAATAACGATCTAAATCAGACATCCTTGGTCTCACTTCAGAACTATAGATATTTCCGAGCATTCCAGCGAAGACAACTGCGATCGGAAATGCAGATTAGCACATACCACTCTGGTTTACAATATACGGTTGAAGGTCTCAACAATGACACCTCGACCGGCACTCACAACTAGCCAGGTATGCAAAATTATCGACAAATTCTGATTCCTTACCAAAGGTAAGTACAGATACAGGCTCATGACAGTTTCACAGAAACACTCTACACTGGGATGGTGCAAAGCACACACCAAATGGACACTGATTAACTGATTGAGTAGCCTGTGTTGTTGCACAGTAAAGTGGCATCTTCTGCATTCTTGAGAGGTTTTTCACGTGTTAACAGATCTACACCATCATCGTGCACTTCATTTAAGGCTGTCTCGAGAATGTCATCGATCGGGAAGTTAGCGTAGCTAGATTGTGCAACCCTACCTAGCCTCGCTACTAAAGTTTTACTGCTGACCGGACGAGAGTGTGACAGCAATAGGGTGTTTCCCACAGATGACCAGCAGTACCGTGCTGATACTGCCTTCACTATTTATGGAGTTAAGAAAAGTAGGTTACCTTCTGCCCTTCGGTCTTCCTGGGCCGGCGAGATGGCTTTTTTTAATCTCGATTCAAATAAACCAAAGCTAGGCGTGAAACCTCCAAAAAGACTATGTGACCGGCTTCAAAAAGATATCTCGTGGGCTCTTCGGTCCAATTGATTGATCCAACCTATTTATGAACCTCAAAAATAAAGCTTCCACGGGAGCCGGGAACTATCAACTACCTAAGAAACTTTGTTAGCACTGAATGCTTCTCTGATTGTTATCAACCATGCATATTTGTGCCCTCTGATATTTCCCCATGTCTCTCGAATAATATCCCATATTATCTTCCATTATTCCAGCTCCACAGCCCTTGGTAACAATCCAAGCTCCTGAAAAGGTATCTCCCGGCTCGTAAAACCACTCTCACCTACACCGAAGTTTTCTATGCGGACAGACAGATATGAATTAACGTTTAACCTCTCACAGAAGTGCATCGGTTTTAGTTGCCACAGCAGTATACAAAAGAATGTGGATAGAAAAAGTGACAACCAAACAGAAAAAAGTGTATGGAAGGAGAAAAGATTTGTTGAATGAAGATTCGGGATGTCAGTGAATATTGTGCACCGTTGTGACTTATTTTCAGCCGTCACCAAGGGCGCTTGACCTTTGGTTTTTATTGTCATCTTGAGTACCCCACCCAAGCAGTCAACACCGTACAAGACGGAGATCAACACTCCGACTTCACAGAGTAGTGTCGCATTTTAATTTAACCACCATGTCTTCTGATCTAGACCTACTTTAGCTACTTAGTAAGACTAAATAGTTGCCGGGTGCTGTTCAGCGCTGATATCTTTTTTATCTGTCTCGCTTTCGCCACCTATCGCCGCTTGCTGTGATTGCGACGAACGTTAGTCACGTTATGTATGGTTTCGCTTTTAATTTTGGTCAGATCCAGTTGCGATCAGTCTTATCACATCAATCCGCTGATGTTTGCGAACCTTCGGTGTAAGTTAACAGCAGTCTTTACCGTTGTTTCTATAGCAGACTAAATAGCACGCCAGGTTTCTTCAAGATGAGCATTACTGTCATGTTCAAATAAGTGCTTAGCTCTCTCTCCCACACTCGGACTTGACATTCTTATCTTCCAGTCGACCATAGACAGGCTTCAGTGCCGCCTGTTTCCTGCGACCTACAAGGCGCAGACATACACAAGCCCGTACTAGCGTGTGATCGGAGTCAAAACAGGTACTCTAGGACGAGTAACAATCCTCCACCAATCTCCAAAAGTGTGTCTATCGTTGACTTGAAGTCGATGGACGCCATGTAAGACATTGTCTCATCGTACTTGAGGTTATTTTTGGCTGGAAACAAGTGAATTTTAGAACAGAATTTTAGTAGACTCAATAGTGCAAATGTGTTCACTCTGACGCTCTCAAGTTCTAATTGTTTTCCTGAATATTTATTCTTTGAATTTTTCCTCCTTCTATACACTTTTCTCTATTTGACTATCACTTTTCCTGTCCAGATACTTTTGTATGCTAATGCAGTGTGGCATCTAGGACCAATACACATCTGAGAGAGGTTTGGCATTAATTTCATGTCTGTCTGCCCATTTCCTGTATCTTCATATATGTAACGGGGTTGGAATCGGTAACTCCCCGGTTAAAAGTCGAGTATTGAAACCAATGAGCAAAGGTTTGACGCATCATCTCTTGCTGTTGTCAATAATATCTTCGTGTGATGCTTTTTTGTGTACTTTTCATTTGTTTTTGTCAAGTCTAACGGCAGTTTTCTTTTTAAAAATGACCTACAGACTACATACCGATGTGGTCACGAAATATTTTAAGAAGCTGCGTTTCACTATTCAGTTTACGTAATTCATTTTATCATGTTAACAAATGCTGGATTGCCTGGAGGTGATAATGCCGAGACACTCATCAATTTACTCATATCTATTCAGAAGTTTTCTGAACCAGTCATCAAACTTATAGACGTAATAAGCGTCGAGTTTATGCATCATTTAATGAAGTCAGTAATGAAGCATGAAATGGTCTTTTTTATCTTGTTTTATTACCAATCAGGGAAGTGACCGTTCGTTTGTTAATTTAACCAGTCACTGAGATTGACCCATCTCATTTTAATCTCATATGCTTCGTTTGTTTTTAGGAAAAAACGACTGCTCTGTATAATCATTGAAAATGGTTATTGCTTCCTCACAACTTGGGATGCTAGTTATGTGCAGGTTTATCCATAAATGTTACGTACTTATTGTTCTACAATTTGACTAGTAGTAGGTAAACCGGATCCTTCCGGATTTGCTTGACGCAGCAGTGTCCCTCCAGTCAGTTGCTCAAATAATTGCCTACTGTTTGATATATAAATCAGTAAATGTGTTCGTAATAAATAATTTTATAACTTTCTTTGAAGTGTATAGTAAATTCTAGCTTGACTTGGTTATTTCCCTCTGCAGTAAAATGACTGGTGTACTGAATAATGTTTCATATGTGGGCAATGGAACTCCAAACGCTTCTATTAAAGTGGAGGCGGAAGATGACATCCCGCTCTCCGAAAAACTAAAACGGAGTAGGGTACATTCGTCCTCCAGTGATGACGATGATATTCCGTTATCTGCTAAGTAAGGTTTTATTTGTTAATGAACTACTGTCACAGGTTAGCGCGAGTGTCCAAGAAACCAAAATTGGAACCTCCAGTTTCTTCACAGGTAATTTTCTTTCATTATTCTAATGCAGCTGCAGTCTCGCAATAAAAGTCATTCGAGGTCAACAAATGAGAAAACCAAACAAGAAATTACATCCATTTCTCCTGCTAAGGGCAAGAAGCAAGATCAACCTGAAGAAGTCTGGAGGTGGTGGGAAGAGCAAAAGAAAGATGATGGTGTCAAGTGGCGATTTCTAGAACATAAAGGTCCCCTGTTCGCACCTCCATACGAACGTCTACCGAGCACTGTTCATTTCCACTATGACTCTAAACCGATGCGGTTGTCGGAGCATGCAGAGGAAGTTGCAGGATTTTATGCGCGTATGTTAGATCATGATTATACAACAAAGGATGTGTTTAACCGCAACTTCTTCCGGGATTGGGTAAAAGTAAGTTAGTTGTCTTATGCTGAATTCATTGCGCAGACGATGAATGAAGAGGAACGTCGAACTATCAAGTCTCTGAGCAAGTGCGATTTTCGGGAAATGCACCAGTATTTTCTAAAGTTGAGTGAAGAAAGGAAGAACCGTACCAAAGAAGAGAAGCAAAAGGCAAAGGAAGAAAACTTACAAATTCAAAATGAGTATGGATATTGCATACTGGACGGTCATAAGCAAAGAATCGGAAATTTCCGCATTGAACCACCGGGCTTATTCAGAGGTCGTGGTAACCATCCGAAAATGGGAATGCTTAAGAAACGTATTATGCCAGAAGATGTTATTATTAACTGTTCGAAGGACTCCAAAGTCCCTGCTCCTCCTAAAGGTCACAAATGGAAAGAAGTAAGACACGATAATACAGTCACCTGGCTTGCATGTTGGACAGAAAATATTCAAAATAGCTTCAAATATGTCATGTTGAACCCATCCTCTCGTCTGAAGGTTTGTCTTAAATTGACTTAGTTCATTTTCTAGGGTGAGAAAGATTGGAAAAAATATGAAACCGCTCGCTGCCTTCACAAGATTATCGACAAAATTAGAGCAGATTACAAAGCTGACTTCAAACACAAAGAAATGAGAATACGTCAACGAGCTGTAGCTTTATATTTTATCGATAAGGCAAGCGGTATTTAGTTTTTAGTGTTATTGTACATTTATGAGATCGTATATTTATTCCTCATATTATTGATCCCCAATGTTTCTATTACTTTAAATGCATGTCATAAATCATAACTTCAAACAGGGTACCGTTCAGTTAGTTTGCATTGTGTTTAACACATGACTATTTGTATGACTGGTCATGTAAGAAAGTTTAGCGATATTAATTACACATGACATTGTTTCTTTTTTCATTATCTTCCTGTTGTATCCCTTACTTTCCCCCTGTGTTAATGGTAAATTTCTTCAAGCCGTTCATTTTGTTCTAAGCAAGCTAAAGAACTCTGAATTAATTATACTGGGATAAGGATTAGCGTAACCTAATACTTTTGGCATAATATACACACTAATCGGCATCATCTAGATAGTAATAATTTATCACTATATATTACAGCAATAACAATCGACATAATGCATAAATATCTTCAAAGCTCACTGTAACATATACATACAAGTGGTAATTTTAGTACATTGGACAAAAGCTCACACCAAGTGAGTATTTAGCACTAACACTTATTTCAACTCAGTTTTTCAAAACATCAGGTCAAAATAGCTAAAGCATGAATTAAAAATGTCACCTTATTATCAAGCAACTAATGATAAGTAATAGTATGTGGTTGAATACAAAACAGATGACTTGTATTTTTTAACTCACTGATTTTTTTTATCGTCACAAGTGTTAGTATCATCGACAGAATTCATGTTTACCTAAACGATATTGTTTCTTTCAATAGCTATGCTTTCGTTCGTGTTTTGTAAGATCTGTTTTTCGGGATAAAAAGACATTACTATGTCGTAAAGTGAAATTTTATTGTATAGGGCGCCGATATTTCGAAGGGCTGGATTCTTTCACACGGTCATGAAGTCAGGCTGGAAATCAATATAATGCAATAGTTAGACTTTCCACAACTATCTGGCGTTTTCATCTTTTTCATCAATTAATTACTATAGAGTTGTAGCTTACTGATCTAGGCATTTAATTTTCATCCCATTAGTCACTGGTTCGCAGTCCTCTTTGTGATGAGGGCTTGATAAACTGTGAATTAATCACTGCAACCGTTATTCCACGACTTGTGTAAGGAGTGAGATGCACGAATGAAAGCGGATGTTTTTGAGCCGTAGGTCTAATATCCTATCAACAGGGCAGCGCAGCAACGTCAGCAATTCTGTTTTCGTACTTACCAGTAATCAAAGTTTGGGCGTATTCTGCTCGTTCATTCTGGATCCTAAATTTCGCGTGCTCTAGTGGTTTAGGTTAAGCATTTTTAAACGCCTCAGGGTAGACCACTAGTTCAATCGTAAGTGCCAGAAGTACGCTTTCACTTTCGTAAAAATTTCAGTCATGACGTAGACATAATCAACGTAGAACCTTGCCCCAAAGTGCATTAGTTCAAGTTGCCTCACTTCACAGTAGCCTACAAAGAACAAGACTAATGTCAAAGTAGACAAAAATGGTGTTTGGGTGAAGAAGCAATTTGAAGATAAAGGTTAGCGAAAATATTCAAGCTTTCGAAGACGACTAAGAGTGAATACATGTGCATCTTTGTCACTGAACTCCAGTCATGTCACTAAGGCTTCCCAACCATTGATTCCTCTTCTGTATTGACTCAGTCTAAGGATAGGGGGTATAGCAGGGACTAGCTCAAATAATTTGGTTGGGGGCGAAATCATAACTCAGATGCAGCAGACACGTTTAGCATTCTCCGACTTGCGTTATCTCTGTTACCAACAAGATATCTAACTACCTATTAGAGGACAAGTATGATGCGCCGCAGTTCACTCCGTGCGTTCTACGACTTTGAGATATCCTCGTTTGAAGTAAAAGACATAGAGAGACTACAGGCCTTTGACCACAGGCGTCTTCCTATCATTGAGCCTGCCGAACCACGTTCAATGCTAGGAGAAGTTGGAGGCAGGTACATCCATCTGACGAGACCCGGACAGGACAAACCGTGCGTCCTGGGTCCTACTGCTAGCTACTTTCCATCATTAATAGAAGTTGGATTAGGTTGAAAGAAAGCTCAAGGTAGCCAGACCAAGAGGTGTCAATACTTTTGGAAGTATCTGATTGTTTATCTAAGCTATGAAGGTATAGGTAGACTGGCTCGTTAGCGGGGAGGGGGGGGGGTTAAAGACCCTTGATGACATGACTGAGAACCGCTTACAATGGCACATAGATGTATTTCCTATTGGTTGTCTTCGAAGTTTTGATTTTTTCGATTCAACTTCTTCCACTTTTACCCTCTTCTCGCATGCAGTTGTCCATCCTAAGATCACTGTTTTGCTGTTCACTTCTACTTTGTATGCTGCCGTTAAGTAAGGCAGCTTAAATCATTTCCTTTGTGTACGACATTCTACTTTGATTTTGTTTGTCTGTTTATTCACTTCTTTGTCTTTTCTCCTCATATCTTTCCTCATGTGGTGATATAAAGCGTGACATGTGGAAACAATACGGAAAGAGGTCTTGTGCTAATGTCTTTACGTCTACTGATGCTATAACGAGTATGTTTATAAACTGAGATAAAAATTAAAAGTCTCACATAAAAGCGAGTATTCTGAGAACTAGCGGAACGTTTTGGGTTGTAATCATGGGGTTAAGATAACTTGATGCTATAACACTGTAGTCAAAAATAAGACATCCTGGTGTTGTTTATTTAAATGTAGTTTAAAGCTGATTATCATAGGAACAATATTACGCATGTAAATGTTGCTCGACTAATCTGGCAGTTAACCTAGCATCTTGGGTTGACAAATATTAGTCAAAGAACGTTCTGCTGATTTTGACATTAGTTATACTTGCAAATTACCTACGCATCTCATATACGACTGGTAATGTGGAGCATTCTTGTGGATTCAGTAAGATGATATCTGCAAGGTGTACTTTTATTCTGTAATTGTTTAACATTTGACTATCTAAGATAACCGTAGTTTGGAAGACTAGTATTTACACTGAATGATGATTGAAGGTACAATGAAAATTTGGGCAGCGACCGGATTCGAACCAGCAACCACCTGGTTTCCGGCCCGATGCTCTACCCACTGAACTACAAAATCCGGCTGCTGACCAGATCTTTTTCACTTCAATCACCAAAAGTTTTGCCCGACTACCATGTGAATTCGTGACGCCTTACTACCGCTTGTTCGTATTCACACTGACTGCCTAGTCAGGACTTCTCATTCCAATCCAAATTTAACTGAATCAGAGAGAGGGAGCATCATATTGATTATCATTTGACTACCTAAGATAGCATCGGGCCGGAAACCCGGTGGTCGCTGGTTCGAATCCGGCCATGCTCCAAATTTTCATTTCACCTTCAATCATCACCCAGTTTAAATAGTAATTGTATGGCAAAGTAATCTGGAGCAAACCAGGTTTTCGTTGTGTCAACCGCGGTAGCTATTCCTCGTCATTTACGTTTCAAGATGACATCTAGGACATCTGTCTTAAGGCTCATGCCAAGGTTGTTAAATATAGTCATAGTAGTCTAAAACGTTCAACACTTGTAGGGGTTTTATTTTAAATGATAAAGTAATTTCGGCATATATATTTTTTCGTACATTATATAGGTTATTCGTATAAACTTTTTCACTAAGAATCAAATAATCTTGTACAACACATAGTGGCGGTAATCAATGTGGTATTCGACCGGCTGCTCAGTTACGTCATAATTTAGCGTTCCTTTGAGTAGCGAACCCAAAATCACACTTTAGGCAAACAGTAGCCTACTGATCATGACTTATCCTAATATCTTCACTTGATGTTGGATAGTCGCTGACAAGATAGGAGCGAGAGTTCGCTTGCTCGTTGATCGCTAGTGCTGAATTTGAAAGCTGTATTTAAACAGGGTGCTCGCAAGCCTTCGCAAATTATCGGCTACATTTATAGAAACTCTAGCTTTCCAATCGAAATTTGAGAGTAACAGTTTATGATCTACGAACAACGTAAGTCGATGCATGTAAATCATAAGAATATTGGATAGCAGAAGCATGGACGAATGCTTTTTCCTCACTTTATCTATGTTGCTAATCTGAAGGAGTCAAGGTTGTCGGATTTCATTAGACTAGACGCACAAAGTAGCTACTCCATTCCATAAGTTTAAAATCGGTGAGGTTGAATTTCGAGGGATCAGTAACAATTCCGAATTTCATGTTCCTCTGCTGTCAAACCACAGCTGCACATTTCCCCCCGATTCTCGTTGGGTTATTGTGGTATGCAAACCCGACTACCACGTCATGGTAATAGCTATCGGTCATGTAGTCTCATTCATGTGAAGACAGTAGATATAACTTCTCTGACAAGGACTACTAATGTTTGATCATGTGACAGAATTTCAAGAAGAGTAACTGACTCCACTCACTCTTAGTCGTGCCAGGGTATTTTTGGGGCTCTTGTTTTTTTGCCAGTAAGCTAAAAACAGAGGAATGAAAACTTCCGTGAATTTGTCTTCAAAAACTGCGTCGTTGCAAAATACGTCTGCACTTTTTGATCGTTTTTATTTTCTCCCCCATATATAAAGTTTTATATCTTTATTACGTTACATTGTGTATCTTGTATGGTGCATTCCATGGTGTACATGCCAAAACAAGTTTCTACCTTTCGCAAAGTTAGGTTTAAAAACGTAAGGATTTTTGATAAGATGTGGCCCGTAGACTGATAGGGAGAGAGTAAGCGAATGCTTAGTTGAATACTTTTTCATTAGGTATCAATTAATCTATTTACCATTTTTTATACTTAAGTTGGCTCTTCGTGCTGGTAATGAGAAGGACGAAGATGAGGCGGATACTGTTGGTTGTTGTTCACTTCGCTACGAGCACATAAAACTGCATGAAGAATTGAATGGTCAGCCTTATGTTGTTGAGTTTGACTTCTTGGGTAAAGACTCAATCCGCTACCTCAATTCAGTCTCCGTTCCAAAACGTGTTTTCAAAAATGTCAAATTGTTCCTGAAGAACAAGAAAGAAAACGATGATTTATTTGATCGACTTAATGTAGGTTTTTCTTTATGTTAATGTTAAGGTAAAATAATTGTAGACCAGTGTCCTAAACCAGTATTTACGAGAACTTATGGAAGGGTTAACTGCTAAGGTTTTCCGTACATACAATGCGAGTCGAACTCTGGAAGAGCAACTGGAACGGCTTACAAATCCGGAAGATCCTCCTCATGCTAAGCTTCTGGCTTACAATCGAGCAAATCGAGCAGTTGCTGTCCTGTGTAATCATCAACGTTCAGTTCCGAAATCATTCGCGAAGTCCATGGAGAATTTACAAAAAAAAGTAAGTGAGGATTTTATCACTTAACAAGTATCGTAGCGCGTAGCTTTTTCTCCTTCATTTACTTATTTGTATAATGTACCATGAAGTTTCCGCAGATGTATTCATCTTTAATTTTAAGCAGTAGTAGTTGTTGTCCGAACCCCCGAACTTATATATAATTATCTGGGTTTGTATACTGTTACACCAGCATTTTATTTATCCGACAGCTTTGCTTCATTGGTTCAGATACTTGACTTTCAATCTGTAGATCACGGCTTCATACTCCGTTTTACCTACTATGGTTTAGACTATTAAGTAGCAAGCTACCTCGCAAAAGTGCACATAGCAGTTAAGTGCATTTTGAATGGAAACAACCAGGAGTCCTTTGCAGTCAAAAGACTTTTGTTTTCTTGTAATGCGTGGTTCTGTTTTGTTATAGATACTACTTAAAAATCAATCAATCGCCACAAACAAATAAATGGAATTCGCAAAGTTCTCACCTGAAACTTTGACCTGTAGGAGGTCAAACAAGTCGTGTATAGAGACAAATATTTGCCGATGGGATTGGTTGTACCTTGAATTGGCAGAAGCAAGAAAATGCGGACTGTCGGATTCCCATCTAATGTCTGAACATGTTTGCCGCACGACCTAACTGTTCTAGGTTTCAGCCTTCATATGGTCGTGGTTGTGCACGATTGAGATAGGTGTCCAGGTTTTCAATAGTTCTCAAACTGACGTCAATTGTGCTAATGAATCCAATTCACGAAAAGACGGTTACAGTGAAGACTTTTATCTTTTTGTTCAAAAAAGTAATTTCAAGGTAGTATTCCTCACAAATTGACATAATTTGGAGAAACCCTGAAAACCCGGGAGCACTACGCAGCTGTTTCATCGTAGCATGGGATTCCTCAAAAGTGTACACCTACGACCCCGCCGAGATCGAACCCAGAACCATCAGGTCTCATGGCGAGCACGTGATCACTAATTGTCTTCGTTTTAACTGCTTTTTTTTACTTTCCTGTGACCTAATGGGAGGTATTTTGCATTTAGGTCAGGAATTCTTCGATATTTTGTTCATAGTAGTAATAATGGTTACGGCGAATTGCAGACATACGCGATGACGCAACTGATAACATCGCACTGGCTAGAGTCAACAGAAAGTATATTGACTGGTAGAGTTGCAGCCAAAAACAAGAAAAGTAACTCGGAAAAATAAAATCATATTTAGAAATATCAGTTACCCATGATTATAAAACCGATGACACAAAAGTTCTGCAACTTGAGTGTTCATAACATGTTGGATACTGAGAGGAACCTTACACAAATGCAATCGCTTCCCCTCACATGTCACAGCAATCACCAACTTTGAGGTTCGTAAAATACTCACCTGCTCGTTAGGAGTTGGTTGTTTTGTGTTGCGGATTACTTCTTCTTTTCACTTCTACACTACGTAGCGATTGTATACAAGTTTGGTGACAAATCGGAAGATGTAATAACACTGTCATAATTACAACAAAATCAATGTTTAGTTGAATATGAGAGTAAGAAACTCTGGAGATTGTCTTAAAGACTTTTTATACCGAGTGCAAATTACTTGACAAGACTTTAAGAATTCCAGCGCACGTTGATATTTCATGAACATTGAAATATAACTCCGTTGAGGAATGAAGACATCAACCAGTTCACTAACTAAAGGTGTGGTTTTTTCGGCAAGTTTTCAAATTATGCGGTAATTGTAAGTGCTCAAGTTCTTTTAGGCAATTCAAAACAAACAGATATATTTTGGAGATCGGATAAAATGTATCTTATGTCTGTATGCAATAAAAATATTCTCATGCAATTTCACCACTCCTTAACCGAAATTTGGTTTCATATGACTACCATCATATCCTGACCACTGTTCCTCTGCATCGGCTGAGTGTAACTCGTCTTTCTGTTAGCTGGAAAGTATTCCTCTACAGTGTTGATTTTTAAAAAGTGAAATCTGATGTGTATTGCATAAGTTTCAAGATACTATGTCTAACCATGTCTTTTAAGACATGGTTAAGATGAAAGATGAGAAAAGTTGCTTGTTTGACCAGATTTTTACATCTTTTTATCTCATTTAACATTTCGTTGTAATCCAATTTATTAATCATTGAATTCAATACTTCAAAATCTATACTTCTGCACATTAAATTTATAGATTGATGCAAAACGTGAGCAAATTTCGGAAATAACGATGGAAGCTAAGCAAATCAAAGCTGATTACAAAAGTCATAAACAAGCATCAAAGAAAGTTGCTTATGAAAAATTAAAAAAGCGGCTTGCATCTGCCAAAGAAGCATTGTCAAAGCTACAGTTACAGGCAACTGACCGCGATGAAAATAAGGAAATCGCTCTTAGTACAAGTAAACTGAACTATCTTGATCCCCGAATTTCAGTTGCTTGGTAAGATATTACTGTAGGCAATATTAGTGATATGATTATTTTAAGCATTGTAGGTAATTAATATTTACTTTTTGACACTGAGCTTTCCCAATACCAATCAGTTGTTTGACTCAGCCAGGTAGTAGTATTAGCCCTAGCACACCAAAAATGGCTCATTGCCTACCGCACGAATGTGTACAAGGTAGCTGAATGGATTTCGTTTTGTTTGTTCGTTTGATTCGCACAAATTAACCTTTGAATTTGTCGAATTACTACTATCTTTTTCAAACTTCATAACTCAACAAAACTACTTTCAGGAAGTAAAGATAACAGAATCTCAAATAGGTAAAACATAACACTGCATAAGTCAATTGATTCTCCGTTCATCGTCGAGGTGTATTCTTTAGTGTTTTCCAGTTAATCTTCTTCGTAACCTTTCCCCCTGTGCTTTCCAGTGTAACGAACACTGTCCAAGACTTCAGGTTTTATAATTATCCGATGCCTGAGTGAATGTCGACAACAGCTAACCTAAGAGAATCAGGCTGGTTTCAGACCTGGTCATGGGTGTATCGACCAGATGTCCAACCTCCAGCAGGTTCTGGAACACAGATACACTTACCGATGCCTGACACTGGTAGCACTTTTCGGTATTCGGCTCCGTCGACTGTAGTGTTTATGGCGAAAACCAAACGAGCCGTATTTATTCATAAAGAGGTTCACCTTTTACAACCTCATAAAGGCTGGTGCGACTTCCGAAGTGAATGAATTGATCAGGGCACTCAACAATTTCACTCCCACTTTTAAACAACGAACTGGCAAAAACCAGTCCTATTGGCAAGAAACGCATAACAAACATTTGCAGATTGCCACCCAAAGTGTCCAAAAGACTGAGTCTTGACCAGTGATCTTCTACCACCGTCCGTAAATACCTATGGTACTAGTCTCTCTGTCTCTGCTGCTCTTCCTCGTTTCAGGTTTCTTGCAGCGTTCTTGATCTCTGTAAGTGTTGTAGGTCTCATCTCGATGTTCCACTCAGACTCTGACTGGATAACAGACAACGGAGTAGTATTTGAAGCCAGCTGAAGTGTTTCTGTCATCGTTCCAGTCGTCTTCCCTGCACTCGAATCACAGACCCATCCTTCTCCACTATAGCGTCACTAACCGTTTACATTTTCTCCCAAGTTTCCATATTAGGTCTAGATATTTTTTTTAGTGTTACCTATCGCAACTGCCTTTTCCACCTATTTGGCATTCACAGCCCGTTGCTGTTCATGATCACTGCGTAGACTTTTTGTCTGTTCATAATCGAGTTGCTTCTGCTCCTTATTGTGGTGGGTGCCTGCAAAGATGAGTTCATGTGTATCCATTAAATAAAGAAGCTGTTGAAATCCACTGACCTTTTCTAACTACTTCCTGTCGGTTAAAGTCTTCAGCACGATTTTTAATCGTTTCAACCAGTGTAGCTCTTTAGGTCACAGTTATTTGTAAATCCCACCACATAAAAGTAGCAGTTGTCGGTTAGGTCATCATCATCAAAATCAACAGGCATTACTGCATAACGGTCCGAGTTGCCACAGCTCATATCAATTCATCAAGTAAAAAGGCAGTGAAGTGGGAGATGAAGAGAAGAAAATTCAGTCAACAGAAATATAAAGTACTAAGTGAGAGAAAGGAAGAATGAGAAAATGGTGAAATTCGGTAAAGCGTTAAGATGAGGATAATGTGTGTATACATCTGAGCCATATCATATAGTGTCTCCAACCATTGGTTTGTCTTGTCCCGTGGACCCGAACCGGCTAGTCTGCATCGCCCCACATGTCTCAAACTAACAGTCAAAGACTTCATACATTGATATCATGTTTTAGTCTGACCGCCTCGAGCCTTTTTCCAGCCTGAACCTACTTCAGCCAACATTGTGCAACGAGGCAATCGGCGACTAGACATATGTGTCCCAACCATCTCAGTCGATGAAGGTTCACAACTGTGTCAACTGACTTACCTCTTTTCCCTAGAACTCTACATCTGACTTTGCGTTACTCACGTGGTGTCACCACGGAATACGGCCTATACTACTAAGACAACGGTGGTCAAACACCTGAAGCCTTCTCATCTCTTCCACCTTCAATGGCCACGTTCCACAGCCATACAGTAGAACAGAGCAGACTCCTGTGCAGTGCACGCAACCCTTAGTAGACAATCGGATATCATGACGGCGCCGCAGGTAGCGTAAGTTGGCAAAAGCTAGCCGAGCCTTTTGTATTCGTGCAGAGATTTCATCGACCACTGATCCACCAGGGCTGATCCTCTTTCCCAGGTTAGTAAAGTGGTTGACACACTCAACCACTACGCTCTCTATTGTTAGCCGTGGCACCGTTGAAGACCAATCCTGGAGCAACAATTTGTATTTGGGTGGTGAGAAACGCATCCAAACATTCTCAAATTGCCACTCAAGGTTTGCTGTTCCCGAGCTCCACTCAGGCGTCTAATGATTATAAAACCCAGATTCTTAGACACTATGTTCGTCAGGCTGATTCCCCTGTGGTTATCACAAGAGGACTTCTCGCCTTTCTTGAAGACTGGAATAATCAGTGATTTAGACCAGTCAGAGGGGATCGTATTTGATCCCTATATACTAGTTAACACTTCCGTTAACCTGACTAAGAGCACTACCACCATACTTGTATACCTCAGGAGTTAGTCCGTCTGGTCCTGCTGCCTTTCCTCGCTTCCAGTTACCTACAGCTTTCTCGACTTTCCCTAATGTTGGGGGGCTTATCTCGATGTTTTATCCAGGATCCGACTGGATAGTGAGAGATGCAATGGTGGCTAGAGGCCATTTAAACTGTTCCTAGAGGTGTTCTGCCCATCGTTCCAGTCGTCTCCCCTGCGAGTGAGTCGCAGACCCATCCTTCTCCACTATGGTCTCATTAACCATTGTTGACCTTTTCCCTCCAGTTTGCCTAATAAGTCTAAATAACTGTCTACTGTTACCAATCACCGCTGCCTTTTCCACCTCTTTAGCCTTCGCTACCCACCACTGTTCGCGGTCGTTGCGCAGACCTTTTCTCAACCTACTTTTAAGTTGTGCTCACTCTTCATTATACTCAGAGCCTGCAAGGATGTGTTCACCTGCATCCGTTAGTTCGGAAGAAGATGCTGATATACAGTGGCTCTTTTTAGCCGCTCTTTTGGCGTCGTTCATGGTCTTGAGTGCTGCTTTTACAGCAGACTGGAGATGGCACCAAGCTTCTTCTGGATGAGTGATAGTCTTCTGTTCCAATGACTGCCTTGACAACTTTTCAATTGACATGGCTTTGGTGTTTTCGTTGTCCAGCAGCACTCGTAGTGGTTTTGTTGCCAAAATTTCCCTACGTCCATTGAGAAACAGGCATATACACGCTCGGACCAACGCATGGTTGCTGTCCAAACACGTACTCCAGAAGGAGCAGCAGTCTCCCACCGATCCTCTTCAGTGATGACTGATAGCAATGTGGTCTATCTATGTCCATCACTGAGTTGAGGTGGGTGGATGCCACATCAGACAGTGTCTGAAATTAGTGCCAGCTGAAAATAGGTGGTTATCTGAGCATAGTTGTAGTAGGCGATCACCGTTATCTGTACGTTCAGCAGGGACTCCGAAAGTGCCACCTAAATGCCTTTCTGCCTCACTCAGTCTACCCACCTGTGTATTAGAATCACCTGCAACAACCACTACGTCTGAACGTTTGGCTTTCGAAAGGAGGCTAGAAAGTTTTCGGTAGAACTCGTCCTTCACTTCATCTGAACTGCAGTCAGTGGGTGCACAAGCACAGATTACAAAGAGACAACAGTGAGTTTCACAATTCTTTTTAGTTCTCACTGTACCGTTTAGCTGGACAGCGCAGAGGCAACTATCAACTGGGGTCCAGTCCAGTTGTGAGCTTTCTGCTCTTGTACTTAATGCTATGACTACACTCACAAGACCGCAAGAGCTAGATATCGAATCTCCAGAAACTCGAAGGGTGAATTTCGCGGACACACTAGATTGGTGAGGTGAGGTGAGGTGAATAAACGCACTTGGGTCCTGTATGCGAGTCTCACAAACATAGTACACATCCATGGCCCGAGTTGTTAGAGTCTTGATCGATGAAGCCTGTTGACCAATCGGACGGAGGGTGCAGACATCGAAGACCCCTATGTGTAATTTGGAGAGTAGTTTAAGGAGACCAGGGATGCTGTTCTCTAGATTCAGATCGTTGTCGAAGGCTGGAGAGCTAGGAGAAATTGAAGATGATGTAGTATTGTTAATTGAGAGACATGAAGGAAGATCGGAAGGTAATGATGAGGGAGGTGGATAGCAGCCTGAAGAAACTTGAGTGCTGACAGAGTTGTGAGGGTGGTTGACACTTTCCGGCTGCCCATGCCGTGGAATGCTATTTCTTCTTAAGGCACCTGAACGAGATTTATGTGACCGCAGTGTCTATCGGACATCTGCTTTAGTCCTGTCACAACACCGTTTTGTGTATGGTTGTTTTGGGACCGGATGGTCAAAAAGAAACGACAAATGAAGCAACACCTCCAGCCCGGTAGACCATGGGTTATAGTGGAGTGTGTTATTTTGGAGGACGACTTTTTCTAACCCCCCTTCCACTGAGAAGGCAGCATCAGCATGTCACTGGTAGTCATAAAAGGGAAACACCCTACTGCTGTCAGACCCCATCCAGCTAGCAGTAGTACGACTTCGCCCTCAGACCCTCATAGTAGTGTAGTAATTTACACCAAAATAGTAACTGCTTTTCGTCTAACCACTATCCAACAAACCTTTCTGGTATGGTAGGACCTCGAGGGAACAAGTGTTCCATCAGCATAGCTCGTTGGGTCATTGTGATATACAAGCCCGACCATCACGTCAAGGTAGCAGCTATCGGTCAGTTAGGTACCTCTAATTTAGTCTGAATTTTATTTCATTCTACATCAATTCTTTACCAATGCAGCGGAATGTTCATGTTTCTCGGCGTCCTTCAAACCAATATTTTACTGTGGTTTCAGAACGTTCAGTGGGATTTGCTTGGTATCCTTTGACTTTCATTTCGTAATGCAGTTTTTTTGTAGGTTATCGCATGAGTTCGCAAACGAACTTGTGAATTATATTCCTATGGTCGGTCAGGTGTGTTGATACCCATAGCGTGAACTATTAATCGTAGAGAAAACAGGAATGAAGATTGTTCAAGTGATTTTGAACTTCCGAAATCGTTTCTTTAAAGTATAATTTTTTTTCAGTGTCATTTCCTGCATATATATTAAAAATCAGATCGACTTCATCTGCATGTGAAGAAACTGGAGACGCAGCCTACTGGACTGGACACAAGATGAAAAAGAAGAAAAAGAAGAAGAAGGAGAAGAGCAAATGCAGGTTCACACCACTCACTATCTAATGCAACCAACCTACCTTCGAAACCAAGTTGAAAGCCTTCAAAGAAGTTGGTGATAGACCACAGTTCAAGTTGAACACCCAGAACAGAAAGTGAACTGAAGGACGTAACTACAAGAGACATCTTCACGTCACCCAGTCATCAGGACAAAATGGGAGACATTAAGCAACATCCCTGTGTGGAAGAACACTGGAAATCTGTGAAAGCGACGTGGAAGGAAACCTGCATAACCGTGTTAGGAAGGAAGAAGAAGAAACAAGACGAGACAAGGAATGGATCTCGACGGATACATAGAAGCTGATAGAGCAGGGAGAGGAAGATAGTGGTGGTGAAGCAGAAGATGAACCAGTGGTGCAGTGCGGGGAAGAACAACGAAAAGAGGAACTCAGTACAACCTGCGAAACACTACACTGGACAAAGAAGTGAAGAAGAGTTCATGCAAAGACAAAAGATACTCCTTCTACGACACACTGGCAAGTGAAGCAGAGCAGGCCGCAGGTAGGAGACACCTGACAACATTATATCAAATAATCAGCTCACTTACTATCTGGGAGGGAAGAGGTCAACACAGATGAAACCATTGAAAGATAGTGAAGTAAAAACTTAGTTACCACCAAAGGGAAGAAACAAAGGAAACGATGGGCTGGCCACTTCAAAAAACTCTTGAATCAACCACCATCACCATCTGCAAGTCTTCCAGAAGCACCACCAGCAGCCTAGCCACACAACTACCAGTGAACACAAATCCTCCGACAAAAGCAGTAGTGAAGTCCTGAATGACATAAAGTTACTGAAATCCAGGAAGGCAGCAAGACCAGATGGAATTCCTCCAGAAGCACTGAGAACAGACACAGACATATTTGCAGCGGACATGCTTACAACACTTCTATTGCAGAAGGTTTACAAGGAAGGGAGAAAGGAAGGAAGGAAAGGTACTTGCTGACTGATTGGAAGAAGGACTACCTTGTCAAACTCCCAAAGAAGGGAGACCGAAGTCCTTGGGAGAAGAAGAACTGGCGCGGAATCATGCTGCTGTCCACCACAAACAAAATATTGAGCCACATCATCCTGGAGAGACTAAAATATGCTCTGCGTTCAAAATTATGACCGGAGCAGACTGGCTGTCTCGATCAAATTGCAACCCAACGCTACACATCATCATAGAACAGAGCATAGAATGGCAGTCAACTCTCTCTCTCCCTCAACTTCATCGACTTTGAAAAGGCCTTCGACAGCGTCGACTGAGAAGTAATCTGGCAGCAACTTCAGCACTACGATTTTAGTATCACAAACCTTTATCAACCTCATTTAACACCTATATGCTATATAGTGCTACATGCTAAGTGATTCACAATGGAAAGCTCAGTGGTGTCATTGAAGTGAAGACAGGAGTAAGACAAGGTTGCCACGCACTATCACCGATTATCTTCCTGATTGTGGTCGAATGGACTGGACTGGACTGGATCATGCAACAAACTGTGAGGGGCGAGAAGATGGGCAAACGCTGGCTGGACCGATGTAAGGACCCTAGAAAATTTGGATTTCGCCTCCGATGATGATTTATGTCTAATGTCGCACAAACTCGAAGATCTACAGGCGAAAACCAACAAGTTGACAGAAGAGGTACAGCAGCGAGGGAAGGCGGGACTTCAAGTGAATGTAGAGAAGACAGAGGTGATGAAGACACCCAACCAACAACAACAACAAGCACCAATCACCATCAACGGGAGAAGTCTAAAGGAAGTTGTCTCTTTCACCTACCTAGGCAGCATCGTTTCAACTACAGGTGACGGCACCGATAAGGACGTCAAAGCCAGGATTGGAAAGGCAAGGCAGGCCTTCATGAATCTGAAATCAGTGTGCAGATATATAGAGTAGAGAGTGCGATGGAGGCGTGCTTCTGAAGCCGTATATATATATATATATATATATATATATATATATATATATATATATATATATATATATATATATATATATATATATATATATATATATATATACATATATATGTACGGTATGAAGCTGGAGGTACCCAGTGCATCACTGTGAAATTGACCTCTTACATAAAGCACAACTTTACCTTTTTCTCGACACTTCATGTATTATTGATTCTTGTTTGTTTTGTGATGCATCTAATCAAAGTATGTTTCTCACTATCCTTTCAAAAGGTGCAAGAAGTACAATGTTCCCATTGAAAAGATTTTTAATAGAACTCAGAGGGAGAAATTCCAGTGGGCAATAGATATGGCTACAGCTAGCTACAAGTTCTTAGACGTGGATTCAGATAGAAGTACGAACAAGTTGAAAGCTGAAGATAGTAATGATGAAGATATGATTGATGATGAAGATTGATGATAAAATACCTAGTGATTTCAACACGAGTTTCTTTCAAAATACAATGTATACTCGTCACGTTGAAGCTGAAAATTAGTCTTTTTATTTCTTTCTGAATAATCTCCATGTGTATTTTGTCAGACCATAAAATATCCATTGTAATTTTATCCTCATATGTTCAATACCTGTCTTTATCATCTTCCGAATCACTCTCTGTACCCCTTTTTGTACTAAACCGTCTCTACCAGTCCGCTATTAATATTACTTATTCGTCAAAGACCTGTGAATTTTAAATCCCAATGAAAACTGATTTTTCATAATCGTGATGACAACTAGGAATTTTACCTTATTACGCCTAATATCTGATATCTACCATGCGGATATATAGTAATGCACGCATAATAAAAATATTTAAACAGCACGCATATTTGTGACAGTAGCGTTCTTTCGGTATTATTCTTTTTCTTCTTAAACGTGTGTTTTAAATCGAATGGTGTTTGTGATGCAGTATTTTTATGTTTTTTCCTTCTTTATCCTTAGGAATGCTTTCTACGTACGTTTTCTTTCCTTTATTGTATTCCATATTTTCTATTCTATTGTTCTATAATCAATTTTTATATCAAATTTATTCACGTGTATGAGTTAAAATGGGTTGCATCACATTATATTTGTTCGATTGTTTGTATCTTAATGTACTCAATGATTCACTGATTTTCATCGTATTTCATATGCGGATAACTTGGTGTGTTCATAGAGTTATGGATTTTGTCGTATCCGTCTCGAATATATCATACATGTGATAGTGTTAATTTTGAAGTCTTGTTTATCCCTGGTTATCTTAAACATATTAATTGTGTTTAACTTGACTATTCGTAGTAGCTCTGCGTATTTATAACTTTTTTCATCATAGAAAAGGCATTTATAAATCTCCGTGAAAATTCGTTGTTACATCTGCTAAAGAAACATCTTTCTTTGGTGATTTATTTAAGTATAATCAGCCTATTGCAATATTTAAGAATAACTGCATAATGCTCAACCATTTAGTACAAGATTTATGTTTGAGGATATTAATACAAACTTATTGTACAAGAGATTTCAATCGTATCCATTTACGATGTAATATCAGGTGCAGTAATGCTTAGAGTCATGATTAATCTTCCAAAAGTAGTTTTTATCACGCATGTACGTGAGTTACATTAAACATAAAGTTATCATAAATCATGGAGATCCAGTTAACGTCCAGCAGCTGAGTTAGAATCCACTGGACATCAAATTCCCATCTCGCGATATGGCGAGTATAGAATTCGATGAAATCTCCAAGCATCCCGCACACTTACCAAAGTAATATCCTTGTGATTTACCACTTCAAAATGGGAAACAGACTCACGGATTTCACGACAGCTAAACTCCAAGCCCGACATCTAGAAGAAACCGTGGTATCGTGTAATGACTGCGAGAGTTATCCCTCTAACATGAACAATTTGTAAGGAGACTATCAAAAAAACCTATGAAATGCATCACGAACATTCTTGATAGTCAACATCAGATATCAGGTGAATGGGCGTTGCATTGTGGTTGTTTACTGAGTGTGAGTGTGCACATGGTTAGTCGGAGTGGTCATGAAAGCTATAGCTGTAGTCAGCTACTGATGATTTCACGCATGAGACTGACTTAGGTTCTGTGGACTTGATTGTCAGTTGTGATGGGGATTGTGATGTGTGGGTCGGTCAGTCCTTCATTCTTTTGCAATAGAAGATATTTGACCTACATACTACGTGAACACATGATGAAGCAGGCCATTGGTTCTTCAAATTCTGTGAAATTTGTTTTGCGCATTTTCCCTGGGCATAACCAGACATGATGACGGCAGTTGATTGGATTGAGATATCAATCTCCAGTCTGTCCGAGTGTCAGCATTGTATATCAGGTGAATGGGCGTTGTATTGAGGTTTCTCACTGATTGCCTTGATAGTGGTTATCATGTGGAGTTGATGTGAGCACAGAAGGATGGTGCTGACAATTGCTTTGTAGCAATGGACGTCCATTGATGACCGCATGCATGGGAGTGACTTAGGTTCTGTGGCCTTGACTGTCAGTTGTTGTGAAGTGTAAATTTTTTCGTCGGTAGATGGTTTGATTTCAATAGGTGGAATTTTTAACTCGTGACTCTGGAAACAATTATTTTGTGAATTTGGTGAGGGAGGGTCTACGCCCTCTTCCTGATAATGACTGCTTTGAGAAAGTTTGTTGACAAGTTCGAGAAAGGCATTTGTTAGTGCTTTGATTGTCAGCATTTTATTTGATGCGGATGGGCGTTGTATTGTGCTAGTCTACCGATTGCCTTGATCATGTTTCGAATTTGTTACGGTTATGAGTGTGGATGCACATTCAGTGAGGATTCGGATGAAAGATACTTTGTAACAGTAGTCAGCTACTGACCGTGGCGAGCCTTTGTTTTACTTACGTGCTGTAGCCATGATTTTTAGTTGTGATGGGGATTGAGTTTGTTTTCTGTCGGTCCCTTGGTCATTCTTTTTCCGTAAAATGTATGTAGAAATCCTGCATCCATGAAACCATGATGCAGAATAAATTGGTGCTGGGAATACGGTGACCGAGCCTCTGCATACCTACATATGTATGATGAGACAGGTAAAGCCTTGTATCGGGTGGTTTTATAAGTGAATCTTGAAGCTGCTTGATTGGCAACATTGGATATCAGGTAGATTGATTGTTTTCATGTGCTCTGTATGTGAGTGCCGAAGCATAGGGGAGATTTCAATGAAATCTGACTTATAGCAGTAGTTCGCTATTTAGCGCGCGTACGAGTGCCTAACGTTGTGTGGCAATGGTCGGTTTCGCTGGATTGGTTGCTCTTAAGCAGTAGAAGGTATGTTTAAGTCGCGCCTCTGATGCTGGGAATTCGGTGAGCGAGCCTTTGCGCACCGTGTATTTGTATGATGAGAGAGGTAACGACATTTGATGAGATTTTTTAAAAAGGAATCTGTAAGCTGTTTGATTGTCAGCAGTGGATTTAATATTTATTGTTATAGTTTTGTGGTTGTTCACACACGTCTCGTTAGCTTTTTCGTCCTTTGCGGATATGTGAACGCGTAGGGATAGTGATGACAGCCGTTTTGTAGTAGTTGGCTACTGACCACTGTTCGCCAATGAGTGCCTTACCTGTTGTGGCCATGAGTGTGAGTTGTGATGGGAAGTGTTTTCTCAGTCAGCCGATCACTCTATTGCAGCATAATTTATGCTAAACTCCTGCCTCTGTGAATACCAGTTGCAGATGAACATTGATGCTATTAATACGGAAAGCAAGTATTAGCACATACTCCCTGTGCATGACTAGAGAGATGACGTGTTATGAAGCGTTTGGGAAATTAATTTAGAATGTTTGTTTGACTCACAACTGTGAACATATGGTGACTCAGAACACTGATGCTGTGAATTTTGTGATCAACTTTGTTCGTACCCTGCACGTTTATGTCCAGACAGGTGAGGAAGTTAGATGTCAAGTTTGAGGAATTATATATGACGGTTTTAAATTTGCCGGGACTGGATATCTTGCAGATATGCGTTTCGTGGTGGTTGTTCATTGATCGCACTTTTTATATGTTCTAGATGCTAGTTTGGAAGCGTGCTTGGTGCAGATCAGGATGACAAATGTTTTCTAGCAGTGGTCGGCTATCGATTACTGAGCATCTACGAGAGATTTACATGGTGTGGTACGACTGTCAGTTGTCATGGAGAGTGCCTTAGTCGCAGGTCGATCTGACAGTAGTTCGGCTGCCACACAATTTAGACATAACTTTCGCATCCGTGAGCGCACAACGCAGCACAAAATACATGCCTTGAGTTTTGTGCACACGAGGACCTGGCCTGACAGGTGACGTATGATGATAAGCTGACAAAGGAATCTGAAAGCATTACGATTGTCAGTGGTCGATATTAGATTGATGAGCACTACATTGCAATTTTCCACTCATTCCATCGCTCGTGGTTTCATGTAGAAAGAAGGGGAGTTTAGAAGCACTCGTGGTACAAATAATTATGAAATCGAATTATCCAATAAAATAGTCGTTGGAACGCTCGAACTAATTTCAAGAATGTGAACATAGTATTATAGCTGAAATAATACACAAGAAAGAATCTTAAAACGGAATGCGAAAAGCCACATATTAAAAACCAGTCCACACCATATAATACGAGATATTTATAGCAAAAACGAAAAAAAGAGAGGGGTAGTATTCTCCACCAAAAATTACGATAATCCCAGAGAACATAGAACTCAGAAACAACACATTGGTAGCCGACAGCATCGAGCAATTACCCACAACTACAAGAAACAAAAACACAACGACAAATTCCATTCTCACACTCTCGCCAAGACAACGAGACAGCTTATTGCAAACCCAGACACACACCAAGAATGCCACAAACACGCATATAGCATTCTAATTCCAAAATCTAACAGGAAACACTGCTATCCATTGAGTACTCTGCATAAACACCATTTTCAAACGTCAAGACCTTTCGCAGCAATGAAGCCCTACGCAAAGCGGAAAAGAATCACTGGCTCAAAGTGTTTCAAGTCAATCAATAGCCAATAAATTTCATCTCATCATGCCCATCCGTACCACACATGAAAGTTCAACCACCTCAAATTAGATCCCTCGCTGTACTCTGAATGAATTTTGTCTGCGCTAAAGAACTGTATTTTTTGCTTGTTTCCATTTTCGATGTTCCTGTCAGTGTGGTGAGATAAATCGCTTAGATTCCTTTGGATGGTTTATTAAGTGACTATTGACATGCATTTCTAGATATTTTGTCTTCATCCTACCTCGTTCATTTCTATCATTGTCTTTTTCTTGTTTTATTGTCTGGCAACCTATACTGATAGTGGGGCACAGGTCTATACACTGGTGATATATGAATGATGCAGTGTACCTAGCAGCAGAAGTGAAAACTATCGCTTCTTTCTGTTCGTAGTTATAGGCTAAACAATTAGTACTGACACTGGTTCAATTTTTTTATGGTGTTCTTACGTGTGGGTTGCATCGAAGAATTAGATCATAGTATCTGTCGATTTTATTTGGACCAAGGTTTTCGAGTAACCATTGGAATTCCCATGTATGACTTTGATTTGCAAAATCAACTCTAAAAACTTCTTAAAAATCTTCGGAACTTTGTGTGAAGTGTAGCCTCGGCTTCTGTATATTTCAAAAACTCCGACATATT